TATCTATGTACTTATGTACGCCTTAAGTTCTCAGAACTGGGCGTTTCCAGGGCTTAGTACTTGTGAACTTAATAGAAAATAGCGCCCGAGCAAAGTCGCAGTTACGTAGTTCGAAGTAAAAGTACTTCAGTAGACTGTATATTTTCTACTTTCTCCTAGGATTTAATATAATATGTAACAAGAAAATTTATGTTTATACCTATTATTTCTACATAAAATTGCAATAGATAATTTTAGGTTTCTATGTACACATAAAGTTGCTTACCCTGACTAAATCTTCATCGATCAGACCAAATCACAGGACTTTATAATCACATGAGTAGGTAACGAATAAGAAAGATTATTTAAAATTCCACCTAAATGAGTTTCAAAGGGACAGCAAACTTTACATAAATATATGTAATATTTTTCTAGCCTTTACTTATGTTGATAGTTATGTTGTTGGGCAAATTAAAAAAAAGCAACCGAGAGTAGCCACTTGTTTATACATAAGAACGATGAATGTCACTCAAAGTCATCGTATAGAGCGGCAAAATTAAATTTATTTGCATAACCATGTACCTACAAGAGCTAGTGATAAATAGGTAAGTACCTATGCACTACTAACTCATAGATAACGCGAGACTGCCAATCGGAATCACTTTTACGGAAAACTTAAGGATACCATTCTTTTCGTTTTTTCCCGAAAAATATATTCGTGTAATCAGTTTATAAAAATTTGATCAATAAAGTACATTTCTTCAATCATTATTGAAAAAATTTAGTTAACAAAGTAAAAATTATCGATGTCTCCATTTTTTAAATTTTTAAGGGTTTTTTTACAGGATGACCATACAATGTTTTAATTTCTTCAAAAAGTAGAGTTCAAGACGAAAAGAATGAGCCATATCTGAGAAACGAACGGTTTCTTTTAAATGTAAACGTCCACATGAAGTTGGGGGTGATTTTCAGCCTCTCGAGACCATAAAACATACTTTTCTCGGAAACACAACATTTCAATTTCAATTTTTTTTTAATTTATTATATATTTTTCGACGATTACATCACCTTAGTTTCATGAAAATCAAAAGATTATTCAAGAAATTAAAAATAAAAAACCACGAAAAAATTAAAAACCGAGTTTTTTGCAAATATTTCGAAAACTTTAAGGTTATTGCAAATAGTGTTATTTATAAAAGTTGTAAATTTTTACTAGACCTACAACTTTTGTAGAAAACATATTTTCGATAGAATGTCATAGTAAGCCGGAAATTGAAAAAAAAAACTATATTTCAACGCTTTGCGTCTACCTATTTCTCTGGGGCAGCTGGACATCGGGGGCATTTTACGAATTGCTATTCCTTATATACCTGCTAACATTTTAAAATCATAAAACTTCAGGTTTTCAATATATTTTTTTTCTCTTAAAAATAAATGGATTCCGATTGGTCTATAAGTTGACTATTCGAGTTCATTTTACAAATTAGGGTTAAATATTTTTATCGATGTTCCAATCGAATTGCTTCTTTCACTAGATCTAAGATATATGTATATTTTAAGGCACCTATGGTTAATGTTAGAGTAAATTAATCTTATTATTTTCTCTTATATTATTAATATAAAAATATTCAATTTTCTTGCCAAAATTATTTCTTTTATTTCTCATTATAATATATTTATTTTTAATAGTCTCATTTGAAACAAAAATGTATCAAATTAATATTTTTTTACTTAGAAAGGTTTTAATCGTTTCAGGTTTAAGTAAAATATTTTACATTTTAACGGTTAGTATGGAGTAGATAAACTAATAGATATATCCATACTAATATTTATTATAAAATATGTGAAAGTTGTTTCTTTGTTTGACCTTCTTTCACGTTGAAACAAAGTGAGGGATTGGCGTATTTATCTGGCGTTTGTTTAGGAATTCCAAATTCAAATTTATTTAAAATTTAGGCTTGTGTATTTGTTTCGAATTTAGTAATTAATTTTTTAATAATATAAAAAATAAATATTTAAAATATCGAGTTATTTAGGAATACGATATCCACTGTGGCACCAGCGCTGCAGAAACATCTCTAAAGATTAATGATGTGCATGGGGAAGCTACACTGTAACAGAATACACGGTACGTTTTTAGATCTAGCGTTTTTAATTTTGACTTACAGAACAAACCCTATAGATAGCCGGGGACCCAAGTTGACAATGAAGAATTAAAAATGATCATGGAAGCGGATCGATTGCAAACCACGTTAGGGTTAGCGGCAAACTTCGGTGTGAGTGATAAAACAATTTTAATTCGTAAACGTGGGTATCGCATAAATTGAGTGAAGCACACCAAGAAACATACGTAAAGTGCTCCATTATATTACTCAACCGTCACAATAAGTAGAGGATATTGAGTCGTATCGTTACTTGTGTTGAAAAACGTATCCTGTACGATAATCGGAAACTATCATCATAATGGTTGAATGCAGGAGAACCAGCCAAATCCTGCCCCAAGCGATTTAGAAAAAGGTACCGGTAACTGTCTGGTAGATCAGTGCTGGTGTCATCCACTACAGCTTTATAAGATATAGCCAGACGATTACGGCAGATCGATCTGTATTGTCAACAATTACAAACCATGATTGAAAAGCTAGCCGTTAAACAAGCGAGACTGGTCAATGCTCTAGTTAACTGCACGACAGATGGTCGCTAAACTAGAAGAGCTGCAATTGAAAGGTATCTGACACCCAGCATACTCCCCGGACCTTGCTCCAACAGACTATCACTTTTTCCGGAATTTATAGAATTTCTTCCAAGGAAAAAAACTCAAATCCGATGAGGCAGTCAAAACCGCCTTCAGAGATTTCGATCGATTTTTTCGACACAGGAATCAATGAACTACCTATAAAATAAATTATAAATGTGAAAGTTTGTTTGTTTGATTATTTGTTTCTTTCTTTGTTTTTTTTGTGATTTTTTGTTTTCCCGTTGGAATGACAATCTGCCACGGTAAAAAGTAGCTTATGTCTTCGAGCCCCCCAAGTATCTCCACACAAAAAATTACGCCAATACGTCACTCTGTTTCGATGTGAAAGGAGGACAAACAAAGTCAAACTTAAACTATATATCGTATAAAGAAAAAGTGTCAAAACAAATGCATTTAAGTAGCTTATATTAATTCTTAAATCCCAACGAAAAAGAGGGGTGTTTTAAATTTGACGTATTTGTTTGTGTGTATGTGTATCTGTATGTCTGTCTGCGGCATCGTAGCTCATAAGGGAATGGACCAATTTTGATGCGTTTATTTTGTTAGCTGACGTGATCGAGATGGTTCTAAACTACAATTTATAAAGATCTCATCAGATTATCATCACTTATTTCCTACTTGACAAAAGGATCTTACTAACTTTCATAGATTCGATTTATTTGAAATTTGGCGTACTATTACTTCAGTGGTATTTCCAAAACATGCTAACCTTGAGTCTGTGGGATGCGCAATTCCTCAGAAACTTACAACAGGTATAGTGTGCTCATAAGAATAGTCAATGAAAGTTATCTATTAGAATTAGTGTCCGCGAGTAATTTAAAAAGAATGAAATACAAATATGTTTTTTTTAAGACTGCGTTCATAATTATAAAGCAGTAGTAGTAGTAGTAGGTAACGAAAAAGAAAAAAGAGATTTTTACATATATTTTTTTTAAATTATTCCAATCTAAAATTTAGGCATTTTTCTTAGTGTAAGATATATAACAACAGTAAGATTAAAAAAAATATACTCAACTAGAAGGAAATATTACTTTAAAGATGTAAATGATAACCTAGACAATTAAATATATTAATATGCCAAAAGACCTGATCAAATAAAAGCAATATTCGCTACCGCTGTGGGTAGCAGAATATAGCTGTGTTCCGTCCGGGTTTGATGATCCACAGCTAAAGCCAAACCCGAATTTCCGCACTACCGTGGTGGTAGGTGGTATTTTTTCGCTTGCTTTTGTTTTGCTAGACTGCCCGGGAATGAAAAAACACAGAAGTATTATACAGGCGATAGACAACATTTTTGCTACCTACAGCAATAGCTATATTTGTATATTAACAACAAGATCCACATCATACCCACTCGGTTTTTCGATATACAGCGGTTGCGAATATCGCTTATATCTGAAAAGGCATTATAATACTAACATACTTTGTCATAACACTTATTATATAAATTAAAAATATAAGCAAAAATATGAAAGATAAATAATGCCTGTTTTCATCAGCTCAAATAATTAGGTAATTATAGCAGTTCGTTCTACGAGTACGTAATATGCTAAAAGTCAATTTTCACACATCCGGATTAATTAATTAAATACGTATCGCATATACCTACTTGTGTTTGTTATATGTCCAATGCAGGATTGTATAAATGTAAACAAGTAATGTAATTGAAATGTAAAATCAACAAATATGTGAATTATTATTTCATTGCATTTGGGAATGATTAAATGAATTTCGCGAATGCATCCGATCGGTATTATTTTAATTGTAATAATTAATATTCTGCTTTTATGTTGTATTTCAAAAATCACGCTGATTTTATCTATAAACAATTTCAATATAAAAAAGTGCTAGCTATAAAAATACATAAAACACATTACGTCACACACATGCAAGCATTTTTTTCAACGTGGTGTAATAACGCTATTTGAAGTGTCAATTTAATATGAGTTGAAGTGTAAGACGGGACGCTGTGCTCGACATAGTATTATTGCAATTGACAATCCGCTATGGCCATTGAATCTAATGTACTCAACAGTACGGTGAGGTATGGTCCGATGTCATGAACTAAGGGAAATTAGGTGATGATATAAGGACGCAATTCGCATCTTTAAAATATCTGCAATAAAAGATATTTGGGATGCTAAGCCAAAATGAAAATGTAGAGATACATCGACACACAGATTGTCATGAATCGATTATGCAAGTAAGCCAATAGTAAAGGCGGAAAGCTAATGTTCTTTTCACATGTCTCTAGGGTCACACGTACCTAAGTAGAAGTTCTCTGAGTGTCGCCTCGTCCTCCTCCGCCGGCGCATATCGTGTCAGCTTGCTGCCGGCCTCCCGGCCCACATGATCAGGTAGCGCTGTATCAAAACTCCTTATTTATTCTCCTATCTGCTGCCTTTAAGCTCTTTTAAGGTATTCATTGTTCTATAAAATTATCGTGTCTATCGCAAGAAAGATGCACTAAGATCCAAATCTATTTCAGTGTAAAAGAATCAATATATCTTGAATCTTAAAAATTATAGACGAATACTTTATTTGTTGTCGAATATTAATATTTGGGATAGGAAAATTATATTATCTTTAAGATGCCAATAATGGTTGACATTACAGTTATCAGGGCCACCACACACCCTGCTATAGTAGTCTAGTTCATTTTTTGCGATGCAGGACTCAAGTCCTTATACAACATAAAATCGAACCAATAATAGCCTTCACCGTACTGCCAATTATCGCCAATGGCCAATTCAAGCAGGTCCCAAATAAATATTAAAAATATGCGAAAATACATTTTTAATTAACATCAAATAACACATAACAGTAATAGCATTAGATAAAAATATAAATATATTCATGAAAAATTCGATATCAGTGCATGTTAATACATAGACATATTCAAATACAGGTTATTTGTCGGTTGCGCTTGGTTTTAACATGTAAATTTTAATACAATCCTTTTTTATACGGGTTTCGGATTTAATAATAAGTTATTATATAGAGAAATATCGTGTTATACTTTGGTTTTATTGTTTTTGTAGATACATAATAATAGGAATAATTTGTTTGGACAGGTCCGATGTTTTCGAATAAAATAATTGTTATAAAATTGTATAGATTAATATGTGATGTGATGCGTGATTTTATTGCTGAGATAAAATACGATAATGCCTTTTATTAATATTTGTTCTCAACATGTATAATATTTATAAAATTGGTCCTTTATTGTAAATAAAGGCCAAGGCATATTTAAGACGACGCGGTTAAAGTGTTCATGAGAATAATGAAGAATAAAAATTTTTGCTGCCAAGGAGTTCTGCGTACGTAAAATGTATATTGATAGTTGTCGATAGTTGTTCAGCTTCGCGTGTCGTGATATTTTATTTATAAAAATATCATGTTACTGATTCAAGCTCAATGGCATAATGGCTTAAAATAAAGTAACCCGATAGTTCTGTACCTATATTTATATTAAGGTAGACGAAGTATTTGTAGGAGCACCTATTTATCATCGTCGGTCTCAGTTTTGCCTCCATCACTCAATTTTACTTAAAATAGATACTAGGTAGCGACCTATCGAATAACTTTATCTTAGAATATATTTTAGGACCTTTTACTATATAAATAAATAATAATAATGTTCTCCTGGCCGATTTCGGCCACGGCAGCCTATCTCACTGAGACTAGCCACCTGCCAAAAAGATATTATAGTGCACAAATGTACACAGAGACACAGTGCACTATCTATTCCTTTTACTCTCAAAGCCCGATGGGACGATACTTCGACACGAGCGGTGAGAGTTAAGGCGCAGGACCGACAGCTTTACGTGCTCTCCGAGGCACGGGGGTTAAAAAACTTCCCAACTCCGAATTGTTATTGAAAATACCTTAACAGAAAAACTCAGTAATTAAACTTGGTCCAAACCGGGACTCGAACCCAGGACTTCCAGATCTGCAGCAGTACATGCTAACCACTAGACTACAGAAGCAGTCAATATGTCAGTCAATGTTATTATATAAGCAGAGTATTGACGATATATAACATGAATATATAGCGTATACCTTCTATTGAAAATCTCACAGGAATATAATGCGTTTATTTATACTAGCTTACCTGAAATTTGATCAATGGGTGAGTACAGCGGGGGTTCTTCCCCGCCGGCCTGTTGGTGCTCGAGCAGACGGTGACACGACTGTCTCATGAGCGCTCCCGACACTATCATAAAAAGTTAATTTAAGAATGATAAGAAGATATACATATATTCTTAACCGTTAAGTATTAAATAAATTAGATTACATAGTATTTTAATATTGTAACTTTATAACAATGAAAGCTTATGCAACGAAATAAATAAAAAAATAGAGCAAAGTTATTTACCTTTAGTCTAGTTATTGTCATTTGACTACGATCGATAACAGTCTATTCGACGACATTGTGCCTGAAACAATTGAATTATATATTTTATTACATGTACAAATGATACTAACTTATAAGAGCTTTAAAATTAAACTTTATTGTAAAATTTTATTCCACAATATAATTAATATAGAAGCTAGAAATGTGGCACGGAAATATTATTTCCGACACAGACTGGTTTTCTTTTTATCATAACTTCCCTCACTAGCGGTGGAACACAATGTTAGAGCTAATAAACCTGAACATGTTGCTTGCATAACCATATGTAGGTCTCAGTATGGGTACATTAATATATTGATAGTATTACAATAACATTTTTGTAATTAATCTTACAATTAGTATACGTTCACTACTTTTCTGTAGACAACCTAAGTAATTATTTTAATAATAATTTGAATTCTTATTTAAGAGAACTTTATCGTCTACATACAAATAAATCAAGTATTTATTTTAATTATTCTATTTATAACATCCCTTGAAAAATTATACTTTATATTATATATAGGTATCTGTTCTATAAATATAATAAAATTGTAAATGATCGCTGTCTATACATGAAGATATTTGAAATTATTATTGGGGGTCTTTATTAATGCAATGGAACCCAAAACAATGGTATTTAGAATTTTTGTCTGTATGTCTGTGCGTTTGTGCGCGCTAATCTCAGAAACAACTTAACCGATTTAGGTGCGGTGTAAACTAATGTATTGTGGTAAGCTTCACTTAACATTCAGTATTTGTTTTATTTCAATCGGTTTATAAATAAAAAAAAACTATGTCGATTTAAAGAGTCACCTAGGGACGAACCCGAGCGAAGCGAGGGTGAATTGCTAGTTAGAAATATGATCACAGCTATCAAGTATCATATTAATTAGTGAGAACATTGTATCGGGTAGATAATTAATACTATATATGACTGTATCAGATAAAATGATAGAGTGCATTCACTCACCAAATATAAACTGGAAGCAAACTTGATACCGTAACAATCATAACCGTCACTATAGCGAGAGACGAGAGTTGAGTGATCGCTAGCAACCATTTTCATATGACGCTTGTTGCTACTTTTTTTCATACATACCTAGTTACTTTTATACACATAAACAAGATAACTTACTTTATTTATAACTTGCGAATTTACATTGAAAAAAGATATTTATACATATAGGTATTTGTTCTATAAATATAATAAAATTGTAAATGATCGCTGTCTATATATAAAGATGTCTATATATTATATATTATATATATATATATATATATATATATATATATATATATATATATATAAGCATTGCCCGTGGCTCCGTCAAATGTCAAATGACAAAAAACCTAATTCTTAGGTTTTACATATTAGTATACTCTTACAATGCAATTTTTGTGTTTTTGTATTTTTTCTCAGAAATGAGATATTTTCCCGCGGTAAAAAGCCAAAATCATACCAAATTTCATCAAAATCTGTCCAGTGGTTTTCTCGTGATGCGGTAACAGACAGACAGACAGACAGACAAAAATTCAAAAAACTATAGATTTGGACTCTGTATCGATAATAATGTCTATTTCAATTAGATTTCCCAAAAAAATATTTAATGTACAGATTTGACTTAAAATTTTATTATATGTATATATATATATATATATATATATAGTAATTTTAACAAGATATGTTAATAGTGTTGCATTTGACACTACAACGAGGTTTATTGAAACATATAATGGAAGCTAAAAATTAACTTAAAATCTATAGAGAAAATGTACGTAAATCCTCTGACAATACGTTTATTCTAACATACTTCATATTTTCAGATGCTCTTTATAATATCTGCTTTTTTATTATTCCGGATACATGAAACAAAATAGAATGAACGAAAAGTTATATATTATATATGTGAAATGGATTTTATTGCTTATTTTATAATGCTGATTTATTATACTTTTATAAGACACTGAAGCCAAAACCATTTTAACAGTTATTATCACTGGTATTTTGTCTTGGAACATATTACGATACAAAATCATAAAAATCATATTTATTTCCGTTACAACTCGTTTGTGTTAAAAATGTTACATTTTGTAAATTAAATTAAATTGCAATTTACTGAAAATATGATTCAGTAATAAATATTTTGTCATGCCTTTTCTACTAGGCTGCCATTAGAGACAATATCAATGGGTGTGCCTAACATTAATCTCTATTATATTTCACGTTTAAAGTAACAACTTAATAAATTAATAAAGTATAATGTTGGAAGAAATTGAATTTAGAAATAAAAATAAACCCGTAGCCATTTTGCTATGAAATGTTTTACTTACTGAATATTGTAAATCATGTTTCTTACTGCGATTATTGGTATAACACAAGAAATCACACAATTAAGTTTCAATAATTTTCTCAGTGAACAGATATTTAAATATTATCTCAGGACGCTATGAGTGCACTCGGTCAGAGCGGCTGAAGGATGGCGACTGTACCAACGAGCCCTACTGGGACCGCGCATGCGTGGTGCTGACTCAATTCAGCTTGAAGCGAATGTGCATAGAAACAACGTAAAGAAACAGAATTAATCAAAGTATGGATGCACTTCTATAAAATTGCTAATATAATGTTGTCTCTAAATTCCTCTTATTTCCTTTTAAATCTCCATTAAACATGGTTAAATTCATATTAGACTTCATTTAAATGTAATGTAAAAGGTAGACATTTTAAATAGAATATATTGACTATTGAGTATACTTTTGTAATTATACGTTATAATATTAAAATAAGTTGAATTGAAACGAGGATTGGTTCAAAATATATTTTATTTAAATAATTACTGGATCGGTTTCAACATTTTTTATTTTAAATGAAGTACTAAAATAGAAACATTTTTTTACTTCAATTACTACAATCTAGATTTTTAATTTTATAAATTTAAAAATCTTAAACTGAACATTTATTTTTTAATCTTCGTATGACGATAGATTTAGGTTTAGGTATCAACAGTGGACATGCATTTTTTACATGTTTGCCGAGGTCGGTGCGATCGTGCTGCGAGCGAGGCCGCTACGAGGCTACGGAGCGCTACGTGCCCTGCCGCTTGTAGCAAATCGCAAACAGCTCTATATTTTTAATTTTATTTCCAACTAGCAGAGCCCGCAGCTTTGCCCAAACTACGAAAAAACAAACTTTTCCGCAATACATACTTTATTATTTGCAGTTCGTGTTTCATAATATATTTATTTAAAGAAAATATACAAGGAAAATAAATTTAAGTTTAGCAATCTTAACTCAAAATATCTAGCACCTTAAAAGATGTTAAGCGTAGGTATATTCTGTGTAAATAAATGTTCATTTTAGTTATTTAGCAAGCTCCACTACTACTATATTTTGCACATTTTTCTACTCCATCTTTCCAAAGTTAGAGGAAGAGAATACAATGATACAACTCGCATACAATGTTTACAAATTTAGAATCATGTAACTCGGCTAATATGGGTTTTTTAACTAGCACACTAACAGGCTAACATCTACGTTATTTTAAAGACCCAATGCTATTTATACCGAAAGCTTACAGTCTCCCTCCTTTTCTTTCTTTATTAAGTTACATATATATAGTGCCATTCTTTTTTTGCTGTAGATTTTGCCCCGCTTGGACTAAAGAAATTGCTCAGTTTTAATTTCCATTGAAATTTCATGTTATATCGAATTTTTAATATCGTGTGTTTTTTTAAGTCATCACTCTAGAGTTACTTAACTTATCTACGCTAAAGGTCCCAACCACAAATATACCACATTGGTGGATGTTCTGTCTGGTTCTGCTAGAATATCACCTTGTGAAACTATCCTGCCTTAAGACTATGCCTGCTACTTTTAACGACTGGTCCTGAAATATATTAATGATAATTGCAAAGCAAACTTTAAGGAGGAATTACAATAGATTGAATTCAAAAGCGTAGTCAGAGGTTATCAGTATTTGAGGTATGAATACTGATTCCCCCGAGCGCATCCAGCAATAGCTTAAGTGACTTTTTCATTACAGGTGTGCCAACCTTCAGAAGGAGGATATAGATAGCAGGATACTCTCTAGCTAGATTCTATTTCTCGCTCTCTAGGTCTGTTATAGTTGTCACTGCTGTGGCCCGTCGAGAAGTAATATACATTTGTCCTTTGTATTTGGAATACTTTTCAGCAGTATTACCCTATTAGTACTACCTAAACAGCACTTTACTACCCTCTTTTACACTTTTAAGGGATGAATTTAAAAAAAATGATATTTGTATTGTTTCATTCTTCATTTTAAAGGTATTTACCATTTTCCGTGCATCAATTACAAACTGTCATCCCCCAATTTACCCCCTTATGGGATGAATTTCGAAAAAAATCAAATAAATATATTTTTTATTTTAAAGCTACATATAACTTTCTGTGTATTTTACATTAAGAATGACAGAGTTTCGTACAATTTTTAATTCCCTATTTTACTCACTTAGGGGATGAATATCGAAAAATCCTTTTTTATTGGATGCCTACATTACATAAGGTATACGTCCTCCTTTCACGTTTTTCCGACCAGCGGTTTAGGCTGTGTGTTGATCCATCAGTCAGTCAGGACAAAGCATTTTATATATATACTAGCATTGCCCGCGGCTCCGCCCGCGTTCTTATGACCAAAACCAAATTCTTAGGTTTTACATATTAGTATACTCGTATTAGCATATTAGTTAACCCGGATAACCAGCTATTACCATACCAAATTTCTTCAAAATCCCTCCAGTGATTTTCTGTGATGCGTTCACAAACAGACAGACAGTTAAAAATTCTTAAAACTATACTAAGATTCGGCTTCTGTTAGGGATAATAATGTGTATTTCAAAAAAAAATCCAACATATATTTAAAGCACAGATACGGCTTAGTTAAATTTTAATGAATCTATAGAAGTAACTAATTTATAAAGCCAAAAAGATTGTTTATTGATAATTTGAACACGGGCGGGGCCGCGGATAATTTAGTAGTAATTCTAATAAAATCATAGAAAGGTCTAAATTTGAATGTACAATTCAATTTTTTGGAATTAAAACTACGTATTTTGAAGACACATGGCGACATCTATTGACAAATATCTAAATAATACATTTTTTTTATCATATTTAGTAAGTTAACTGGTTAAAATGTATATAGTATCATAGTTTTTTTATTTTAACCAGTTTTTGTATTTTTTCTCATAAATAAGATATTTTTCTGCGGTAAAAAGTATCCTATATGTTGACCCGGATAATCAGCGATGACCATACCAAATTTTATCAAAATTCGTCCAGCAGTTTTTCTGTGATGCGGTAACAGACAGACAGACTGACAGACAAAAATTCTAAAAACTATTGATTCGGCCTCTGTATCGATAATAATGTCTATTTCAATAAGATTTTCCAAAAAATATTTAATGTATAGATTTGACTTAGTTAGAATTTTATTATATATATATATATATATATATATATATATATATATAATAGATAAAACTGACAGGTGTACGGTGTTTTGTTAAATTATCATTTTAATATAAATACTTTAAAACATCTTTAATTCCACCATAAAGCTTGGTATTAATATATAATCAGCTGCTTAGTATTTTATTTAGTACCTACTTGGTATTTATATTTACTTCTCAATATGTAACAGTGAAATAGGTACTCGCTCATTTAAATACAGAATAGATATAGGTCAGGCGGGCATGAGGAAAACTTAGTGTTTACTTTTCCGCGCGTACTTAACAGTTTTAAAATATGAAAAACTAAATATACTCTAAAGAATTGCGGTAACATTCTTAACATACGTCGATATAAATAGATTTATAATTTCCAAAGAATGTAAGCAAGCTAAATATTTGGTATGTTAGGGAAATTAATGCCCCCACCTAATCAATACTTCATCATTGCTACAGCTGCAGCAAGTTTGCGTCATCAACTTTGTTACTTATTTTTATAATTAATTTTCTTACAGTAAAGCCTTTGCGATAGTTTCAATAAACTTTTTAAAGAATCCCATTTTGCTTTTGCAATTC